CCCTTTCCATTTCTTATTTAAGCTCCACTCCTCAAGAAGACTTTGGATTGTCCTGCTAGCCTATTAGGCCTGCGTGGTTGGGGGTTGGGGATTTGATAGTTTCATTGGTGGTTTGGGGCTTTCTGTCCACTCAATGCTGTTAGAGGAAGTGTGGGTTTTTGTGATCAATACCTAAGTTTAAAATTAATTATATCTGACCAAATTGGGATACCAAAATAAAATGCTGAAAGTAACTCTGTCTTCTCTCTCCTCTTCCTGCCTCCTCTCATCTCCTCTCCTCTCCTCGTCTATATATATATATATAATATCATATATATATTATACATATATATATATATACAAGTGTGTGTCATTGGTTTATTCATTGACATTATAATCTGTTTTATTATGTTATTACACTAATGAAGGCAGATACTTCAGATGAGTAGAACACAATGGCTGCATCCTCTTGGGGTGGATCATATGTCTGCTTCCTTGACTCCTTCCCCTTGACAGAAAACACACCCTTAGTATCAGCATAATCAATGGGGAGTGGTGCTGGAGGGGGTGGTTACAGCAGTTTGCCTGTCTGTGATTCGCTGACATGCGCTCTAATTGGATCAAGTAGGAACTTGCTTAGCTGGATGCTTTGTGCTGGGATTGGTAGCAGCCTACAAAGAGAGCACGGACACACCACCAGACAGGAAAAGAGGCAGAGAGGGAGGAGGCCCTGCTTACCACTTGGAGAGGAAAGATAAGGAGAGGAGGGGTGAGAGAAGAAAAAGGGGAGTATCCTGTCTTCTCTGCCCTTCTGTGCTACTGCAGCACCCCCCTCCCTCCTTTCCTCCCTGACTCTCTTTCTCTCTCTTTCCCCTTACTCATCTGTTTCTGTGGCTGCGCTGAGAGGAAGGGCACCTGCCGCTCCCTGATGATTCAGCCTTTCAGCTACTTGGAGCTCCACAGACAAGACAGCATGTCCCTCCTGCCACTGCAGTGCCTGACTGTCCTGTCCTCTGCACTACAGCTACTGCAGCTGCAGCTAGCCCGTCACTTCGACACCGCCTCTTCTGCTCAAGTGCTCAGGTGAGTGAGCGCTACTATTCCACCATTACTCACCATTAGACCATGTAGAACATTTAAAGGATCTAATTCTCTGGCAATCTTTTTTTGTTTTTTCCTGCAGCAAATTTGACGATTCTATTTATAGACTCATGGTTGCGTTTCCTGTGAGAAAGCGTGAGTAAGGAACTCCTTTCCCTCATGCGCAGAAGGCTGTCTACATACCTCCCAGACTATTCAACTCACTATAAAAAACTGTCACTCTTTTTACTTCCCTCTAAAATCCCAGCTCTGTTTCTGCACCTTTGTGATGGAAAACATACTTGAGGAGACTGGTGGCAGACAGCCACCGTGTAATGCTCTGAGTTAATAGTCAATAGAGGTGTTCCGAGACCCTTCATCCAGTAGTTGGAAAGGATGACTGAGGGAATGGGGGACCTCTCTGCAGGGCCAGCTCCCCCTTCTGGATCAACCTCCCCCACCAGCTCTACTGTTGATACTGGACAAGTCCCCAAGGAGAAACCAGAGGAGACAGAGGCAGCTGGTGAGAGTGGGGAGGAGGGTGCAGAGGGAGCTGCAGAGGAAGGTGGTGGTGATGGAGAGCATTTAGGGGCTTTGGGAATTGTGGCCTTGCCAGGGACCTGCTGTGTGTGCATAGAAATGGAACAGATTAACAATTGCTTGCACTCTGAGAAAATCTGCATTTTGCCCATCCTGGCCTGTCTGCTTAGCTTAGCCCTCTGCACAGCTGGCCTCAAATGGGTCTTTGTGGATAAGATCTTTGAGTACGAACCATCCACACATTTAGATGCTAAGCGTTTTGGACAGGACCCAGTTATCATATCAGTTGACCCCACTTTGGGGCTAACTGTGACGATTCCTCATTCATCTCCGTCTACTGTCTCCTTGACCACCGCCATCGTCATTACCCCTGGACCTCCTGATGTTATAATGGAAGACAAATCCACACGAGGGCCGTACATGCCTCAGTCCCCACGAGTGACTCAATCTGATCCCTCTACGTTGAAATACAACAACGAACATCCCACCATCCCAAAGCAGACTCCTCGTCCTCAGACAACACAGAAATTGAACAACATAACCATCCCAACAATCTGTAAGTACCAAACACTTGTTCAGGGAAAACACTGGGATTGGGTTCTCTTTTAAACAGGATGTCCTTTGTTCCAAAACTGGCCTCTAACGTCGTGGACAAGGTATACAGTACTGCTTAACCTTGGACTGTAATTTTCATCATTGTAAAGACAGGCTAAGTGTTGTGATACAAATTATTCAAATTCCCTTTTCTGTTTTATCATTGATTTGGTAAACATTGTGTTCCTTCAACTGTGCCAGGAAATATCTGCTTTCAGGACTTTGCCTGAAAACAGACACGTTGTGACTTGCAGAGTGTAGCATAGAGGCCCATGACTAAGCCTCTTGAAATATTATTACACAGATAGGTGTGCAACTGTTCTATTCAAGCCTACTCTACCCATACAGTGAGTGAATGTATAATTTCTAACATTCACTCTCTCTAAAGTATTTATGATCCGTTAGATTATACCACAGTGATTTTGGCTACAATAAATTACAATAAAGTCTTTATGATTGTTATTTTGAATGTCTGGCGGTATACAATATGGAAGATCTCCTAAATGTGTGGATGCATATTTCCAGGCGAATGAAAAACTGAAAATCAATAAATGATGCGGGACACAAACTGAAACTCCAGGCTGTGCTACAGGGAGACTTCCTGTTTTCTGCCTGTGCTCCATTTCAAGGTCAGAGCCTGCTGGAGGCTAATTGATGCCCCCTCCATTCCTCTGCCACTGGGAAAAACAACCCGCTATTACTGTCTGTCTGCCAGAGGCTGACCACCATGACGTTTCTGTTGTAGTCACATCATTATGATTTATTAGACTGTATGTGGGCTAGCTAATCTAAGGTGATGGGGTGGGTGGAGGGTCAGGTTCCAACCATTGCCTCAATAAAGGTATATAATGCTCTCAGATTCACCAAATTCTCTTAACTGGACAAACTTTGCAAATTGCTGACCTGACGAATGCCACCTATCCATCAGGAGGTATGCGTTTGTGAGATTTTATCATAGTCAACAGCTATTAAATTTCCATAAGACGATCTGTTCTGCTGTTTGTAAGGATTTTGAGTTTCAAGTGTCAGAAAGCGAAGCGGTGACATACTGCGAGTCGACTCATCCATAGCCAGAAACAATTACAGATAAACAGTACACTCAAATATCTTTCTGAAAAGATTTGAGGAAAGAAATATGAAATTTCTCAAGGAAATGTATTCATCATTATACAACACAAGGTTGTATAAAGGAATGAAAGTCAGCAGTTCCTTTGCACATAGAAAATAATAATTAAAATAAATAAACCAATATATACAGTTATTTATATACATATATACATACACGTATACACCCAGAAAATAATTCTGCAGTGCATCTTTTGGATTTGTGTCTTAAGGAATGTAAATAGCAGCAACAAGATAGTGATAATAATATGGTTTAATCTTCACATAAAAAGAAACAGTGGCCATCTACTTGTGCGCCCCGATTTGAACAATTCTATCTTAGCCCTTAAAAATCAACCCAATCAGACATCAATTATGTTTTCAGCAATAAAGCTGAAAAAAAAAGTTTGAAGGAGCTGCCAGCCACTACATATACATTTCCAGCTGTTGCAATTTGATCAGCACTGCCTAGTTTGACAGTTTGATCTGAGTTTGGTGTGTTGTGCTGGATGGAGAATGACTTG